CACAATTTTTTAATGTAGATAATTTTCATTACTAAAACATCTAATTGCCAAATTTCCAGTGTCCTACCTATAATAAATTTGGCTGGACAAATAAAAAACTTGAAAGTAATTTTTCTTAGTTTCACACTCTAGCGAGTTAAGGTCTTTTGCCTTTGTAGGGCAGTATGTATGTTTATATATATATATATATATATGTATATATTTGATGAAAATTAATATAGTAATATTTTAAGAAATAATTATAATTTAAAATACTGTATACTGTACTGTATACATTTTCTATGAGTGTAGGCACACCGGCGGCGCCGTTCGTCGTCTGTCCGCGGCGCCCAGCTACGTCGTGTTATGCTTGTAAGAATTGTTCTAGACATGCTGAAAATTTGAAGCTACAGCACAGCAGCTCTTCTTCTTCGTTTTCTCTGATGCACTAACTCTGCAGCAGCACTTCTTCTTCATTGTCTCGTCTGATGCACTCACTCAACCAAGCGTTCTAACCACAACCTCGCCCCTCCCCACCCCCCAACCATTCGAATTTCTGTAGGTGGGAATTATTTGTAATGATATTCCAATGAGCCGCTTTGTGATATCACAAAGCCCGGAAAACAAACGCTGTAGTCCAAACGAGTCGTTCGTTGTAGTTCTTGAAAAGGGATTTTTCAAAAATGAAATATCTCCCTTTGGAGTGGACTTTGAGATTTGTAACTTTCTAGATCTTTTTTATGCCCAAACATACACACTACACACTGACTAAAATTAAAAAAGTGAAAAAGCATAATAGGACCCTTTTAAGATAATCTTAAGATAATTTTTTTTATAGTTTTCTGTTAATTTTATGTCTCATTTACTTTGTTCTCGTTATGAAGATATCCTTGCTTGTATTTGGCATAATACTGTAAGAATCGCAAGAAACACTATTCTGGTTTAGTGTTACAACTATGTTAATATTTGGCTGCATGTACTACGTACTAAAACACTTAAATACAAATAAAAACAAGAGGTGGTTAAAATGACTAAAATGCGACTACTGATTAGTTATCCGATTAGTAGAAATCACATGAAGTTAAACAACACTGGCATAGAACATGTTAAAACGTGTTCAAATACACTGGCACCGAACGACATTTAAGCCTGTAGTGGGAAAGTTGATGCAGTCCTGTTAGCAGTGGCTTCGAGAACACCTTTTATTTGCTGTAACATTCAGTGTGAAGATGCTCCCTAACTTTGATGCCGATGCTCGATCCCATCAGTACTTTATCACCCCGCACGAAAATAGCTGTGATTTTGAAGGCCTTATTTTTTTACTGCAAGACCGCAGCCTCCTCTGCCCCGTACCGTATTGATTTTCTGCTCTGGAAACCCGCCGTTTCCTCTCTCAGGTGCAGCTGTGATCCCAGGGCTATGATATCTAGTGCTCACTACACAGCAGTATGAAGTATGAAGGCCAGCGGAGTCTGACATGCTCACAGTGAACGTTCGAAGACATTAAATCCCAGCTAAAGTCTTCAAATATACAAATGAGATACTGTATTTTGATAGTGACCAGCTCTGGAGTGGCTTTGTTCAGTCTGAGAGATGCTTGATTGCCCACATTTCTCTCACTTTCTGTGACTATTTGTATTGTCGGTGTTGCTAAGCCTCTTAGTACAGAACGTGTAACACTCAGATGTGAGCTGTGATACTTTGTTCTTTTCTATTTCAAGTGCAGCACACATTTCATTCGATAGTGTAGGAGGGCTGAAATCCTTTGCTAGTAATGTTATACATTGCTCCACACGCTGGCTTGCTGCGTATCGTTTAATCATTTTGTGAACTGCGAAATTGTCATTGGTGAAACCTTAAAAATACAAAGTTTCTATATGAAATAAATAAATTAAATAAATGTATAAATAAATAAATATGGAATGACATGTGAGAATAAATTAATTAATGCATAAATAAATAATTAAATAAGATTTATTTATTTATTTGTTTGTTTTGCACGCTTTTGGTCCTCCATAGACTTTAAGCTGTATAGCATATAACATTCATGGAGTTACTATTTTAACATTCAGTGGGTGTTTTTGTTTTTTTCTCTTTATATGCTGGAGTGATTAACTGTAATCATAATGGCAATACTGGGCTTTATTTCATGGCGATAGCAACTAATAATAATCTCCACCAACCAATATTACACAGACAGCTAATTAAAACATAAATTTCCTGTTTCAGCAGAGCGCAGTATGCAGTGACAGCAAAGTAAGAATCGTTTTAAACAAGGCAGATTAAACTGTAGACCCTGAAATTCATCTAGCTTGTTTGTTAACGTCGGTGCATTTGTTACATTGTCATTAACCGGTGCCGCTGTCTGTCATGTCTGTTTTTTTGGATGCAACATTCTTCACATTAGCACAATGTGTGACACATTGCAATGAGCCTTTTTCATGCAACACAAGAATGAAAATCTTAAAACCATTTTTACTTAAATTGTCACTTCGAATTGATAGTGTATGCAAGAATGGTTTCATGTACAATTTACACTGAAATTCTCCTCATGGTTTAATAAATGAGGTGTTTTGTTGATGCTGCTTTGTTTTTATTTCCTCTTTTAATTTAAAGTCTTTGGGTCTTACTTACAAAGTGTCCCTACAGCTGTGCGAGTGTTATTTCAGTACTATTTATATAGTAGACTCAGAACTATATGTTACATATTTTATTAATATTTTCAGATACCCTTTATTTTTATATTTTGTTTTTATTTTAATTTTATTTTAAAAGTTTCTTAATTTTATTATTTTATTGTTATTTTACTATTGAATTGTTTATATAATATTTTACTGTATAATTTAATTGTTAAAATTTTTTTTATTTTTATTTTGTATAAATTTAATTTATTACTATTTAGGTTTAATTATGTTTATGTCAGTTTTATTCAAGTTTTAGTTTTTATTTATTTCTAGTTCCAGTTTATTTCAAATGTTTTAGCTTAAACTTATTTCAGTTAGGTGCCAAACCAACATTCCTAAAAAAATTAAAAATAATAAAAAATAAAATAAAATAAAAAGAAAATAATAAAAGTGCTTTAATTTATTAATTTAATTAACTAATAATTACTTTTGGATAACAATAATAACTGTATGCAAAAAAAAAGGTTCTCGCACAAATATTTCTGTCAGATTCACAGACACATGAACATAAATTTGTTCATACTCTCTTTCTAATGTTAATGAGATACAGATCATTCTAAATGAGATATGAAATATGTGTGTATGCATGCTTAGTGAACGCGAGCTTGTCTTTTGACTGCAGTGAGTCCATTGCAGCAGTCCCACTCAGCTCTCCTTTTTTCCTGTGCGCTTTCAGGTAGAGCCAGTCTGCATGGCAAAGCGTCTCTGCAGATCGACCAGGTGCGCTCAGAAGACCAGGGCTGGTACGAGTGCAGGGTCCTCATGCTGGAGCAACAATACGACACCTTCCACAACGGCAGCTGGGTTCACCTCACAGTCAACGGTGAGAACCTCGCCACTCTCACCACACTAGTACTGTGAAAGACACACATATCTATCTATCTATCTATCTATCTATCTATCTATCTATTGTTCATTCTGTCGTTCCATCCATCTCAAGTTGCAGTGGTTTGTGTATAAGGCTTTGCTTATATCTGCATATGTGAATGTATGTAGCCTACTCGGTTTCTCTTGAGACTCTGCATACACTGCAGGACGGACTTTCTCTCTTTCGGTGTGCTCTCTTCCCCTCCCCCTCGTTTTTAATGAATGTCTGCTTTTGGGGGTGGAGTAGGAGTATTCGCGGCTTGATTTCATATTCATTTCTAATATCAGCAGTAAATCAGAGCTGTGAGGAGTGGAGGAGGATGTGACAGTCTCATACCACTCATGACTGGCTGCTGCTGTGACTAATATGTGTGGTAGACCCAACAAAAAACAGCCTTCATGCTCTTGCTACAGAAATGAGCAATGTACTCCCTTGTGGTCTAGGTCTGCTGCCATCATTTCCCTCAGAAAACGTTATTGCAGTCTCCCTTGTTAGAGCCAATATTTTGTTCTTGTCGTACACTGGGCAATAATAGGTAATGATTTGATTTTGGGTTAATTATTTAATCGATGTCTGTAATCTTTAAGGTCATCTATATGTTAGTTAACTCCTAAATATAGACACATTTCTAGGAAAATGAATAAAAATACTGATCCTACTCATCCTGCACTACACAGATATTTATTCAATCAAATTCACTCCAATCCCTTCGGTAAACAGACTAGCAAGTAGCAAATTCGAGTTCATGGCTGTGACGTACTGTAACAAAACCCTGGCTGTTTAGAAATAAAAGGGGCTATCATTTGATATGCCCTGCCAAAACTTCCTGTTTTGTGCTTGTCAAGTGATTTCATGAAGCCTACATTCAGTATTATGAGCCTTTGGGTATGGGCCAGCATTCAAAAGAAACCCATAGGCACGCTCTGAGATCTGCATGCCCTTATGTCCATGGCCGGACTTACCATTGGGCTTGAGTGGGCTGCAGCCCATGGGCCCCGCCTTGTAGGGGGCCCCTCCTTTGCCCATTTACGTTTGTTTGATTTGTTTGTTATATGCCAGTCAGAATTCAGAAATTATTAGCCGCATTTCCACTGCGCACGCAAGATCTAAACGCGTCAGCCGGAGCTACAGCTTACAACTACGACCTTCAATGCCACTATCAAACAGCATAAACTGGTATTTATGATTATTTCACATGGAAGAAGGACACACGTATTGAATCGCGTCTGCACCGATTAGTTTGTTATCACATGGCTACTTTAAACAGCTCCATTAAGCCTTTAGCCCCAAAGGGCGCACATTTAGAAAGATAATGATAAATTCTCAAATGTTCACACATCATTTCTTTACCGAGGATGATTCTATATTACTATATTAATGTTTCACTAAATTATGCGATCATCTGATGAGTTTTGAGCGCTCTCTCTCGTCTTACTGCCATTACACATGGGGAAGAAATGTCATCAAAATGATTTAAAATAAAAAATAGCAATTTAATGAGTTTCTGTTTCTGATGCCTATGATATAGGACTTAGCCTATCACACAAACAAGAGTCCTGTTTTTTTTTGTTTTTTCTCTCGGAATATCTGCACGATCGCAAATGTACAATAAACAACAACTTACAGAGTAACTTTCAGACACAAAATTCCGTTTTGCTCCATCAGAAAGAAAATAGAACAAACAGCAGAAGCTCCGAACAACAGTGTTTTGTTCCTCAGCGTTACACGGTCCAGCAAATGATTTAGTCAGGCTATAAGTACAGTCGTTTGCAAAGTTAAATTAATCAGCTTTTTAAACGAATCTAACATTTATGCACAATCCATCTATGAATTTTGTTGATAGTGATTTCATTTGATTGTTAATAGCCAGCATGTCTTTTTATTCGATTGAATTTATTGATTAAATAAGAACCTGACACACAGATTTGACAATAACTTTTATAATACTAATAAGCCAACATCTCTGTCTTTTTTTTTTTTTTTTGCTCAAAGTTTTTTCAGGGTTTTGATCTCTCAACTGAGAGAACACATCCAATTTATTATATTATAATGAATATTTAATATTATATTTAAACTTTGACTATAGCCTAGACATTAGTTGTACTATTTATGAACCTCAAAGCATATGTTTGTGTATTTTGTGTTAATCCATAATGGTGTTCTATTTGAGGGCATTTGTAGTATAGGTATAGGGTCCAAACATAACCTCAAGCCCAGGGGCCCCCATCCCCCTAAGTCCTGCCCTGCTTATGTCTAGTAATATTTCACCAGGCAGCAGAGCCCTTATCATTTCCATTACACTAATGGAGATGTCTTCCATGGTGCCAAACTACAGAGGCAAATTTGGGGTAGCTCAAGGCTTTGGTCATGTCATGTTCCTCCCTCTCATTCCGTTTGAACATCACATTTTGCCTGATTTATTATTTATGGGCATGGTTCAGCGCCGCTGGAAATATATCATCTCCTCCACGGTGAGTGTTTGCATTTTATTAGATGATGAATTTAATACGATCCATTAAGACAATATGTAACCTATCATGATTCACGGCTCAGTAATCATTTCCTGGGGGTCAATATCCAAGAGGCCCTCGGTCGCATATTAATAGTATCACAACACCGCTGTAGGCTTAAATCAAGTGCTGACGCAGCAGATTAATTCCAATACTGGAGTCTTTTGTATTTGGCTGCACTGCATACTGATTCTCACTGTACATCACCTTACATGTATGAGCTGCAGTGGCAGAGGAATTAAAGATAATTATGGGCATCATTAAGGAAACACTGTCTCTTCTCATGTTGGTGAGAAATCGTTAGCGTGTGTTGGTACGTTGGTGATAAGCAACTCTGTTGGTCCTTTATAGTGTCCATTTATTGAATCACATCCCCAAGTGAGATATGTGTCCATTCAGTGAACAGCAGCAGAGAGGAAGTGATAAAAGTGTGCAGTAAATGATCATGGTCGTCCTGGCTGAAATTGCACAGGAGGGACTGAGCGTTCTACTCAAGAAGAGGTACCGGTATATTTGGAAGAAAGACACAAGTATATCTTCAAAGAGCTGCTCAAGCAGAAGAAAAAAGTAATTTTAGATACTTTTAATGCGAAAGTTTTTTAATGTGACCCCTCGTCACATACCCCCATCGCCCCTTGCAGGCCGGGGGGTACCCACGAGACTGCGCTCTACGCCCCCCTTCCCCCGTTCCCTGCTCCTCCCCAAACATGGCGGACGGCAGCAGGCTCCAGTAGCCCCTCACTGCAGAACACAAGATCCAGGGGGGGTGGTTGGATTCACATCTAGGGGGTGGAGATTGATAGGTTTAGGGGTGGAGCTGTGGGAGACTTCCCTCTTGGATGTCAGCCACCCCTCCTCGACCCAGGAGCTCGGCAGCGAGCCCTCTGTCCCACCTCGTCTTCCATCGCTCCAGCACCACCGCCTCGGGCAGCCACTGGCAGTCTCAGCTCCTTCCTGCTGCCCGATCTCCTCAGCACCGCAAACCCCCTAAGCAGCGAGGGCTCTCTGACAGCGTGTCCCTCCTTCCTCCTGGGTTTCAGCACCAGTGTAACAATGTTCGCAGTCATGGGAAGTGTCACACATGATCCTTCAGAAATCATTCTAACATGCTAATTCATCAATAATCAATGATGGAAACAGTTGTGCTGCTTAATATTTTTTTTGGAACCTGTGATACTTTTGTCAGGATTTTTTGGTGAATACAAAGTTGAAAAGAACATCATTTATTTAAAATATAAATCTTTTGTAACATTAGAAGTCTTTACTATCACTTTGTATCAATTTAGCACATCCTTGCTGAATAAAAGTATTAATTTCAGTAGTGTATATTGTTACAAAAGATTTATATTTTAAATAAATGCTGTTCTTTTTAACTTTTTATTCATCAAAATATCCTGACAAAAGTATCACAGGTTCAAAAAAATATATATATTAAGCAGCACAACTGTTTCCATCATTGATTATGAATTAGCATGTTAGAATGATTTCTGAAGGATCATGTGTGACACTGAAGAAGAGAGAAAAAA